TTAAAACCTTAACGGGACCAGGCGCTTCCTGGTCCCGGACTCGCACGATATGGAAATCAGATGCAGAGCCCGGAAGAGCGTCAGCGCCTGGCTTTTAAGGTGGGCAGGGATGGGAAACAGGTGCAGGGAATGAAGTCTTTAGTGAAAGGGCTGGAGCACCCTTAAGGAGGGGGGACTATAGTCGTGACACCCTGTTTGTGTGTCTCATGAGAACAAGTTGGGGTATATGAAAAAAGGCAAATTTCTTAATAGGAGAAATTGTATATGGCCAATTAAGTTATCTTATCCTGTCTCTGCAAACCCAGGTGCCATATGATAAATGGGAGCCTATCTCCCTTTTCTATAATATTTCCCCTAAGCAAGAAAGACATCTCTAACCAAGGTATTGTTTTACCCAGGAACCCCAAGTTTCCTCAAAACACAGACTTGCAAGCTCTCTCTAACAAGGTTCCAATACTTAGCTCCAGTTAGGTTTTGTTTGGATGATGAAGTTGGGGCTCTCGCCTGGTGCAAGCTTTAAGTTCCAACTCCTCCAGGCTCCTTTCTTGCAGTCTGACCTTCTTCATCTCCTCTCTTCTTTCCTCTGCTCCCCTGTGGTCTTAATGTGATCTTATATGGTGTGTTTCTGGGCTGCTCACTGGGGAAATCCTACTCCATTGGGCCCCTGAGCAAGGCCCTTAACCCCAACTGCTCCAGGGGTGCCATATAAATGACTAACCCTGTGTTGTGACCCTACGCTTCTCTCCCTGTCTGTGGGTCTCATGGAGAGCAAGCTGGGGTATGTGAAAAGTCAAATTCCTGGAAATAGTATATGGCGAATAAAGTGATCTTATTTTATCATTTACCCACAACTTTGCAATTGTTTTTGATTAGGGGACATATCAGGAAACATCCTCTGCTTTCAAGCTGGAAATGTTTACACTGCCAGGTGTCACACAGTTTATCTAAACTCTTAGAGACACTTTCCTAGTCACCCATAGCTGTAAGAATATATTTTTAGAAATCAAGTTAAATGAATTTTAGTTTTCATACAGAGTGATCAGATCAGGTAGGATACAACCAGAAATATCATCACACCTCAGATCAAGTTACTTTGCCCAAGGGCCTGGCATGTGCTTAAACATGAAATACAGAGACGAGAGAGAAGATCAGGCAATAGGCAAATTTCTCAGAAACTGATAGCCTTTAAGATTACCTCCCCTATGTAATGATGCCCCAGACAGGGTCTGTGTGGGCGCTTTTTTCTCGAAAAGTGTTTCTTGAAAAGAGTAGGGGTGTTACCCCTATGTCCTGCCCAAATTTCCCCCAGGACTTTACCAATCATGGCCTCCTAATAATCCCCATCTATGAACTGTCTTCATCACTCTGTTCTCCACACTTATTTATTTATAACCACTAAAGGCTTCTGTTACAGTTCTCTCTGCCAGAGGGGACCTCACACACTGGCTGCTAGCCCAGCTGAGCATGCACACAGCCGTATTAAGCTTGAGCCCACCACAGACTGACCAGTTTACCTAGGGCTCCCTCTCTCAGCTCCATATAAACTGTGCTCTCATTCCCGTCAGTGTTCAGGCTCCTATACCTCTGGACCTAGTATCCTTGTTCGTGTTATTTTTTCCCATTGTTTTCTCCTGCTTACTTATTGTTTCCTTTCCCCTGCTTCTTGTGTTTTATTTCTCCTTGACTTGCTCTCCTTCACAGCCATAACAACATTTTACAACTCAACTAAGATATACAGATCAACTCACAGATCTACATCCCCAGGAGAGGGGAAGAGAAAGCCCCACACCTCTGTCTGACAAGAGGTGCGAGTGACACAATGCACAGGAACTAATCCTGGTGATACGCAGGAAGAGCCAGGCTCAAGGTTCCCAGACCTTCCCAGTATCACAAACATCTAATACAAGCACAGCACTGGAAAACCAACAAAGTGACAACACAATTCTGAGTAAATAGCTCAGAATGTATACAAGCTAACTCATCCTAAAGGGGTCTGCCTTTCTTACTAACCCATAACTCAACCAAATGTTTCACTTAGGAAACTGTACTGTCCTTCTTGTGTGTTTTCTACCACAATTTGGACTCTTCCATCACTGCTTGGGATGGCAGCAGTGCTTCAATGTGAGTGTTTCAGTTGGCATTGTGGAGAAGGAAGAACATAGCCCAACACACAAATGACTGGGAGTTGCAGAGAGGGGAACATGATGGGTAAAGCACTGAAAACTGAGAACTGGAGGTACTTTGTACAGAACAAGCTGTGGGGTCTGGAACAAGCTACCTGGCCGTTTTCTTTGAAGCTGCTGAATTCAGGAAGTTATAATTATTATATATTAAATATTGCACCCTTTAAACACTTTGTAGAATTTAATCAGTGTGCTTAGTTCACTGTATAGTGTGTTTTATTAATAAGGCCATCCGTTAGGACCAAAGCTGATATCAAGGGGGTCAGGTACAGGGTTTAATAAACTCTGTTCAACCCCAAACTGTCTCTGCTCCATATCTGAATTCATTATATACAGACCTTAATGGTTCTTGGACACAGAGACAGACTGAGACCCATGAAAAGTCACAACATTTTATATTCTGTAAAATGTAATAGGAAATAGGAGTATCTGAAGCATATATTTTAATGCAGAGCTGAACTGCAAAAAATACTGCTGAAATACCAAAAACAACAGGAAGTTTGGATAAATAACCGGCTGTAACATCTCATAATCTCAGTTTTTAAACGTTCCTAATAATAATTAACAATATTTATGCATATCTACATATAAGGAGGATCTATTCAAACATGGGAACATAAGTAAGGTTACAAATGAGAGGAGGCCTCTCAGCCCAGCTAGATCCTTTGTTAGTGAATTAATCCCAAGATCTCATCCAGTCATTTCTGGAAAGAAGCAAGTGTATCAGCTTCAAACACATGACTGGGCAGCTTCCAAACTCCTTATTCAAGAGCCAAATTATATAGAGGAACAGGATCTCTAATTTCTACCTGCTGTATATAGATGATACTTTTGCACTTTAGAAGGTATTTCCGCAGTGACAAAACCCCCTAACATCACTGCTCCACTTTAAAAATGTAATTCCAGTATTTTTTTCAAATATGTAAGAATTTCAAGAACTGTTAACAGTGAAAAAGAAATAAGTTCATTAAAAGTCTTTAAACAAAACTCATAAGTCTCATAGGGGCAAGTTTCATAGGGAAAACAAAAGGTTAAAAGGTTAAAAGAGCAAAAGAGAAAAGGCTGTGGTTAGTGTTGAAACACTGAATTGCTTCAGAAATTGATATCTACAGTTCCAGCCTTTTAGAATGAACTCAGAATGAACGCCAACACACATATGAAATGCGTATGATAACAGATTAACATTAATGACAATGATACCATCTGAACATTAACCCCTCTGGTGATCCCAAAATTAATCAGATCATTAAATCAATTTCTCATCTCTCCAACTGCTGGAACTTTTACTGTAAAATTAATTAGTCTCAATTTCATACTATTTGTTGGCATATCTGTATTTTTAAAATGCGATTCACATCCATCTCCCTTCTTCTTTTTTTATGGCAAATACGCCAATGTGTACCGTAATTGGGATGTACAGTAAGAGGGAGAGATCAGCACTTCAACAAGCAAAGTACTTACAGTATGTGAATATTTAATACTTTTTTCTGTTAAGGAATAATTAAGGTTTATCCCACGCTGAAAAGAGAAGAAAAGAAACACAATATTTTGGCTGTGGAGCCTTCTTCAGGTGTGAGCCTTGAGCCTTGACTCCTACTTGAACTATTTTATCCTGTCAGACTTGCTCACTCGAGAACCAAGTCTCAAGAGTTTCAAGATCAATTGCTGCTTCGTTGAGTAATACAATATCACTCATTGTCAATAACTTGAGAGGTGTCCTGCACAGGGATAAAAGTACATATAAATGGTGTAGATCTGTTTTTGTTTGCTACCAGGGAAGAGTGACAATTATAATCCAC